TGTTGCCTGTCACACCCAGGACTAACGGTTGACCTGAGCCAGTGCGGGCTGTATTGCAGTTAAAAATGTGGCCTAACGTACGGGGCACACGACGAAAGAGTCAGAACCGAGTCACTGTGCTTCTATCGAACCAGCAATTGTTTGGGAGCGATCGCGTGCTTCTTGAGGCAGGTGGGAGCCATAGAGTTACCGCCAAGTCCGGCCGCTTAATCAGGAATGGCAGGAGGTCAAGCTTTTGGGCGGGCACTTATCGCGCGGCGCGTCTTGGCTTGTATGCGGCATGCCGCTAGCGAGCAATTGGCGCCGCCTATCGCGCGTTTCAACGGTTGGAATCGGCCCCATCCGCTGCGATTTTGCCCTGTACGTCATGACGAACGCTAAAAGTGTTTGTGGACGAGGTACACTCATGATTGAGAGAGACTGTGATATCGTGAACACAGCAATAGCAGATGTTTGATAGCATGATCGATATGGGCCAGGCCTTACGCATATTGGACACTGTCGGGTACAAGTGGTCGATCGCATCCACGCCAGGAACAAATTGGCGAATCAAACAATCACAGAGCCACAACCGCGAGAAGCAGACCCGTGTCGGACGCAGTGGAATGTCTCACCAGTTGCGTACCTGCTGGATCCGGCGCTTGTTGTCGAAGAATTCTCGCCGTGCCGTACCTTCCATTTTTGCCCGCTCACCCTATCCGTTGATCGGCACTCGTGTTCAGTGTTGGTCTTGACATTCGTCTTGGGGGAAGGTGCATCTGCGCCCTTGTGTTGGGATTGAGTGTTGACAGCTCCCGGCTAGGCAAGGGCGGAGGCAGGGACAGGGGCGGCGGCTCGGGGGTCACTGGGGGCCACTCCCCGCATCCAAACGGTCTGCCTGTGGCAAGGGCTGGCGAATTGGAAACAGCAAACCCGGGCAGAAATCATTGCCTGAACGACAGTACCTCGGTGGTGGTTTTTCTTGTGGACGAGAGTGACCACATTCGAGAGTGACAGTACCCAAGTTACTGGCGAAGCAAAAGGACCGCTGAACTAGGGGCGACACATCGGCCGATCGAGCCATTAGTGCAACGGCTAGTGCAAAGGCGCCTGAACGCCCCCAGCAAGGCTTCTGCTCCTCTGGGCAAGCCGGTCGGCAGAAGCAACGCCACGACGGCACCTGCCTGCTTGGACACGCTTCGACGAGACCCGCGCCAACCCTGGAAACCCAAAACCTGCGCAGACCATGCCGTAAACGCCCACGGCAGCAAATGGACTGCCGTCGTGCGCGACTGCCTGCCCGGTGGACGGGAGTGGAATGGAACTTGGAGAACCCTCGACGCCTGAGACATAGATCTTCCATGGAATCTGTTTCCCGCCAACGACCTGGCATTCGCATGAAGAACCGGCACAACGTCGACCGCTGCGATTTTCAGAATTCACCATCCCATCCACCCCGTCCTACATCAATCGCCCCCGGCCTGATCTGCTCAATGTTACACGCCAAGCCAAGCCAGTCGGCAAGCAGCCATCATGCGCTCCAGTGGGCGCTCCAGTGTGAGCACCACCGCCGTCGCCGTCACTGCCTATTTCTGACGCCCGCCCGACCTGCCTAAAACGGACGACGGGCTTGGTCCAGCGAATCAGCGGTGCCCTTTCCATATCGAAGCGACAGCTCCCGGGGTGACAAGGGTTACGACCTTAATGAAGGGCAATCAATTGCAATCAAGGGCATCTGCGAGCGCGCCTCGAGTGCTGGAGAGAACCACTTATGATTCTCGCTGCAAGCACAAATCCCGGCGTTTCATTTCTTATCTCTCCGCTGCCCAACAGCTCGCCGCAAGTGGCAATTATGTGGGGGATGCCCAGCCCTTGGGATCGCACCTCCTTCTGGACCGGGTATGGGCCGCCCTCAGGCCCCTACGCGAATGCAGCAGGACGAGACCGCGGGAGGTCACGGTGCACTGTAACCGTCGACGAGGTCCTCTGGCAGGAGAGATCGGCGGCCACATGGGAGCACCAGATGTTGGGACCGAAACCGGGAGCTGCTTGCTTAAGTACACCGTCCAACCACGTTCCACCCACCTGGATTCCCCCTCTCCCCTCTCTCTTTCCCCCCCATCCCGCTCTATCATCTGTGATATCGGACCGTACTCCATCCCACTGAGCGTGGTGAATTCTCAAATTGCCCTTGCATTCTGCCAGCCGCCCCCCTAGGCCCGACCAGCATGGCCGACGTGGACGAGAAGCGGGCGATCCCCGCCGCCGCCTCGAGCAGCATGCGGCCCTTTGCCGAGAGCAACCCTCCCGTCGACCATACCGAAACACCGAGAGAGCACGGAGAAGTGGCTGGCGACGAAAAGGATGACGTCAAGGTCGAGGTCACTGGGGAAGTGGTAGAGGAGGATCTCTATCTCCCCCTGGTTATGCTCGCTGAGCTACCTCATGAGCCCAACCCGTTGACCATCCGAGCTGTCACCGTCGGCATCGTGCTCGGTGCTCTTGTTAGCGCGTCTAACCTGTATCTCGGTTAGTCCAGACTCTACAAACCACAGCATACGACAGCATACTGACAATCATCGCAGGCCTCAAGACTGGTTTCACCTTCAGCGCGAACATGTTTGGCGCCATTTTCGGCTATGGTATCCTCAAGTTCTTCGAGAAGGCCGGTAAAGGCATCCCTATCATTGGCGGCGTCTTCGGCCCTCAAGAGAACTCGATTATCCAGGCTGCCGCAACCGGGGCTGGAGGTATCTCTGGTATCTTCGTCGCCGGTATTCCTGCTATGTATCAGCTAGGCGTCATGGGTGAGGGCCGCAAGCCCAAGGAAGACATCGGTGCCATCTTCACTATCACCCTTGTCTGCTCGTTCCTCGGCCTCTTCTTCGTTACGCCGCTCCGCAAGTTCTTCATCATCCAAGTCGCCCGAGAGCTGAAGCTCATGTTCCCTACGCCGACGGCCGTGGCACTGACCATCCGCTCCATGCACGCCGGTGCCGCCGGGAGCCTTGACGCCATCAAGAAGCTCAAGTGCCTAGGCCTTACCTTTGTTGCCTGTCTCTGCCACCGCGTCGGATCGTACTACGCGATTGGCATTCTTTACGACTGGCATGTCTTCACCTGGATCCACATCTGGAGCGGCTACACCAGCTGGGCCATGAACATCGAGTCGTGGGGCTGGTACTTTGAATGGACGCCTGCCTTTATCGGCTCAGGCATTCTGATCGGCCTCAACCCTGCTATTTCCATGTTCGCCGGATCGGTGCTGGCATGGGGCATCATCGGCCCCGTCCTGGTGCACTACGGAGAGTGCATCGGCATCGCGCAGTTTGACGAGGACGATCCGCAAGGATGGGAGGGATATTACAGCTTCACATCGCTCAAGAACCTCGGCACCGTTACCCCTTCGCCACGGTACTGGCTGCTGTGGCCCGGCGTCATGGTCATGGTGTGCTGCTCTATGGCGGAGCTCCTCGTCCAGTACAAGGTCATCGGCGTCGGCTTCAAGTCCCTCTGGCAGCAGATGGCCTCCAACCTGAACGAGATGATGATCAAGCGTGGCAAGACCAGCCCGTTCCTTGCGAGGCAAGGCGCTGCACGGCACAAGGCCGCGTTTGAAGTCGAGGATCCCGCCCGCGAAGAGGATCAAGTGAAGGACTGGTGGTGGATCGTCGGTCTGCTTGTCACCGTCGTCCTTGGCATGATCATTTTCCAATTCCAGTGGGAAATGCACCCTGGCCTTACCCTTCTGGCCTGTGTGCTTGCCTTCCTCTTCTCCTTCCTTGCCATCCAGATTGGTGCCGTCACCGATACGACCCCTCTAACTGCCGCCTCCAAGGCTTCGCAGCTCATTTTCGGTGCCGCCACCTCCGGCTCGGGATTCTCGGTCAAGCATGCGCAGAAGATCAACCTGGTTGCCGGTGGTCTCGCTTCGGGCGGTGCCGATGTCGCCAATTCGCTTGTCAGCGACTTCCGAACCGGTTTCCTGATCGGGACTCCGCCTGTGAAGCAGTGGGTTGCCCAAGCGATTGGCACCTTCGTTGCCGTCTGGCTGGCCCCTGGCCTGTTTGTCCTTTTCACCTCGGCATATCCCTGCATTTACGACCCGAATTACGATCCAAAGGTCTCGGGCAATTGCCCCTTCTTTGTGCCGTCGGTGTCGGCCTGGAAGGCCGTTGCACAGGCAGTCACGGACCCGGCGGTCAAGATCCCCCGCACGAGCGGAATTTTCTCCATTGTCATGGGCATCTTCTCTGTTCTCCAGGTTCTCTTCCGCCACTACTATCTGGTCGGTGAGCGTGAGAAGTACCAAAAGTGGCTTCCCAACTGGGGCGCCATCGCCCTGTCGTGGGTTATTCCGGCTCCCGTCTTCGCCAACGCTGCGCTCCTTGGCGCCATTATTGCCGCACTGTGGAGGAAGTACGCCATCCGGACCTGGGATATCTACGGCTATGCCGTCGCTGCTGGTAAGTTCTTTTCGCCCTCTCCGTTGATGTGCTCCTGACTAATAGACAATCTCTAGGCATGATTGCTGGCGAGGGTCTCGGCGGTGTGGTTGGCGCTGCTCTCACGCTTGGAAATGTTGACGGAACTGTGTACGGCACCAACATTGCTTGCCCGATGCTTGAATGCTAAGGGGGCGCTGTTCCGCGCGTCGTGCGAGAGAGAGGGAAGGAGAGACGATATCATGCCAACTTTTGTCCAGGTCGTTCCGATGATACCACTGAGAGCAGGTGATTTAGCTTGACAACCTACTGCTCTCTAATTCTAATTGTTTACTTTGCCTCCTTCGTCCTCCGCTGATGCTGTGAATGACTGGCTGAGTTGCGTTTAGTTAAAACAGCATGGCGGTGGCAATTGATTGATAGCTCCGTCGTTCAGCTTGCATACAAAATCTCTGTTGCTCTTCACCTCCGCTGCGCCTCTCCACTTGGTGAGGGTGGGGAGTGGATCCATCCAATATTGACGCTGGTGTGGATCATCCCGTGGTGAAGAACTCTGTTACTTGCTCACATCCGCATGGCCATGTGGCGCAATGGTAGCGTGTGGTCCTCCTAACAAGAGGATTCAAGACTGAGGTTGTAGGTTCGAGTCCTACCATGGTCGTTTCTTTTTGCCGTTCTTCACTTTAGACTGCTGCTTTTCATTCTAGCACTCGGTCTTCAGCGTTAAAGCTTTGAGGTTGGCTGTGGAAGTGGGTCCCAGTTGTCGTGGCTCTTCAATCTTCATTCTCTTGGTTTCTCCTCTCTTTACCCTCTTTGCTGTTCTTCCTTCTTCTTCTTTCTCTTCTTCCTCTTCTCCTTCTCTATCCTTTCTTCACGCCGCTCCGTCATTCAACTTATATTCCTCTTTCCACACTACTTACTCACTTGCGTTTACGCATCTGAAACTCTTGCTTTGCTCCGGCATCGTATTCGACGGTCTTTGGGTTATCTATCCATTTCCAATTTCCAATCACCCACGCACCCTCAAACCCGGAAATCCATAACTACCACATCCCTCTTCCCATCTCCAGCCGCGGCGCAAGCAAACAGCGAGAGCACATCCTCCCGCTCCAGCCGCGCTGAGTCAACCAGCGGCTCCCCCGTCACCCCGTGGCCCTCCCACACTTGCTCGTACGTGGCGTAGTCGTCGGCCGGCGTGGCTCGCAGGATCTGCATCGTTGCGGATGTCGAGTCGGGCAGGATGATGTATAGCGCGCCGTTGTTGGTGACTGCGAGCCGGCCGCGGCGGCTTCCGGGCGTGATGGGGCGAAGGGCCCGTTGTGTCCAGGGTCCTGGATTCGTTAGTTGAGAGGTAGGTTGAAAAAGGAAACGGAAAAGGGGGAAAAGGAGGAAGAGGCATACCCCCCGGCGAGCGGTAGTAGTGCTTCCACATATGCGTCCCGTCCAGGGTATCGCGGTTGAGAACATGCACACCCCCGTCTTTATCAACCGCCTGCGCCTCCTGATTCATCAACCCCGAACCCTTGGGGATGGCAAACGCCGTGATCCCCTCCGCGTCGTTGGCAATCGTCTCGCCCTTTTTCATCATATCCGCAACCGTCGTCCCGGCGCCATTCTTCCACGTGTGTCCCTCGTCGTCGCTATAGGCGTAGCAGATGTCGTGGTTATTCTCGGCGCCGTTGGGCCCGGCCTGTTGCTTGTGCTTTGTGTCCTGCGGGTCGTCCCAGCCCGGGTAGCACACAAAGTCGCGGTAGACCCAAGTCGTGTGCAGTCGGCGGCTGGCGTGGTGGTAGGTCAGCCCGTGGATGTACGGGTTGCTTTGCAGGCCGGTGAGGTGCGCGCCGATGTAGCTGAAGTGCTGGGTGGAGGGGCTGTAGAGGTAGAGGTGGTCGTTGCCGAGGCCGGCTTTGCCGTCGCGGAGGGTCAGGAGGAGGTTTTGAGCGGTTGGGATGAAGCGCGGGTAGGTCACGTAGCTGAAGGGGGCGTGGGAAGGCGGGAGGCCGGGCAGGTAGGAAAGTGTTAGGGTGAAGAGGGCGGGTGTCCATTTGAATTCTGAGGGACGGGCTGCGAGGTTGGGGATCGAGTGGCGGTATCTCAGACTTAAGGGGGCACGTCTGGTGTTAGTGGGTGAGGCTGTGGAAGGTTATGGAGGTGCGTAATTACATGTCGCAGTGGTGGTCGTAAGACAAGTGGATGGTCCCGTCGCCCGGGCAGATGCCCAGCTGGACGGTGTTGTGGCCGTCGTCGACGGTCTGGGGGTAGTCGTCGAGGACTAATACCTCCCAGTCCCCGTGGGGCAGCTCGCGCCTTGCGAGGTGGATGAACAGCGGCTCACTCGCCGCGGGAGGGGGCAGGGAGGCGTAGAACACGGCATACTGCCAGCCGTTGAGCGAGGTGATGGCGTCCTGCTGGAACGCGGCGCCGTTGAGGACGCACCGTCGGTGGACGGGGTCTGCGCCCAGAACCGTCACGCTGGGCGGTTCCAGCAACATGGTCGGTGTAAGACCGTCGTCCTCGTGAGATGATACCCCGGACTTGCGCGACCAATGGTGGAGGACTGTTGGTTGGTGAGGGAGAGGCACTTCAACTAGTACCCCTGACCCTGGGTAAACATTCACTTGCAGGCCCCGGCTTGTCGTCGAGAGGCTGGTTGGTGCGTCTTTGCTCAAACCCCAGCCCCACGCATCTGTGCTGCTGCTGCTGCTGCGAGCGGGTGTGCGTAGCGCCCTTTTTGTGCAACCACCGGGATTACCAGTTGGGTGCTGGCGTTCTCGGCGCTGATTTGTGGATAAATGGATTGCGGAGGAACCAGATGCTTGGTTCTGGCACTGGCCTGGCACTCGGCAGACAGCGAGCACACCGACCCCAGCACGTGTCTGTTTCTTAGGACCCCATCGGGGGTTTTCGATGGCGGTTCTCGCTTTTGTTTCTCGATTTCGGCGGCGATCGTCACAGTTCCAGCTGCAGTTCGTGTTGGTTCCTATCTTGGCGGTCGCAATTGAAAGTGACAGGTGGTTTTCGGTGGTTCTGCGAGTCGAGCCCTCGAAGCCAAGACATTGGTGGACTGGCTAAATACGGGGAAATACCAGGGCCCGTTTGCTCCAAGCCGGCGGTCCTACTGGTGCCAATTTTGCCAGCCGTAGATGGTGGCGGTTGAGTTGTGAAGACATTTGCTCCGCTGCTTGGCCGTGACGAGTCGAGAGAAAATAGGGGCCAATCAACAACACAGGCCCACGAACTACTAGCCCTGGCACGAAGGATTCAATGATTTGCGTGTCCGTGATATCCACATCTCAGTTCTCAGCTACTAAGAACTAGGCCATGATCCTTCCGACGGGGCCCCGCGATTTCCCCAGGCTCCATTTTTTCGCTATCCACGGCTGTGTTTTGGGGAAACATTGAAGATGGAGAACCTGCGTGGGCAGCCGTTGGAGTACACTTTCGGTTCGATGGGGACATGTGTACCACCTTGCAGGATAAACTCGCAGGGTTACCGCCGCCTCCACACCGCCGGGGAGGAGGGGGGGGGGGGGGTCACTTACGCTAGTGTAATAATACAGTCTCCATTCCGCGATCAGGCTAATCAGCCCAGGACGCATCTCAGCCGGGCACCCTATTGGCTGGACCACGGTTCCAAGCTGCACGTTTTGAATCCCGAAGGTGCCCTCCCGTGCTCCGGAGCAACGTCTCGCGTAGCCACTCAGGGGCCAAGGAAGTGCCAGGTCCTTTTCTTTTCTTTTCGTGCACGCACGATCGAGGCTCCCCCTCCTTCTTGTGCCCTCGTGAGAGATCTGATGTGTGCCAGGGCAGGACGTGGAGAAGAGAAAGCAGAGGGATGGCTGCTCTTATCTCAGTAATCCCCCAGCCAGTCTCCACCAGCAGCTCCCATTACCTTGCGCAAGTGAGCCCGTTTCCTTGGTGGAAAAAATGCCCTTGTCACCCCCCCCCCCTCCCTCCCTGCCTCGCAGCGTTGGGGTAACCGTTGGCGTCCTTCCACCTACCTAGCTCACCCAGGTGCGGGTAGAGGTTTACGAGAGAGGGAAACGGGTCGGCGTCTCCAAGTGAGAGTGCATGTATGGTTGACGGTTCTCCAATCAGGCGGGCCAAGGGGGGCGGGGGGGGGGGGGGGGGGAGACCACAGGGCGGACCCGAGCTACGAACATCACCCGCCGCCCGCCCGCCCGTGCAACGTCGACAGTCTATATATATTGCTGGTGCATGGCATGGCATGTGCATGATATGATGCGACTACAAAAGGTCTCGGCTGGCGCTATATATACAGGTACACTGCGTGATATTCACGTTCCCGCCCCGACCTGACCCCTCCAGCTTGCGGTCTTTTGCTCTGCTCTGCGTCCTTGCCACCGTCGCGTGCTGCTGCGTCCTCGTTGGCGATATAGTAGCCGCCATCCTCGTTTGCAGCCAGCGATCGCGCAGCTCTTGGACACTCACCGGTCCGCGTCAACACCACCATCATCACCTTTGAGCAGTGAACCACCGGCAAGATGACGCTGTCGCAGAGGATTCTGCGCAAGATCGTCAAGAATGAGGCCATGGCCGCGGACCCGCCCGAGATCTACGGCTGGCGCGTGTACCTGCTGGCCTGCTCGGTGAGTCCCTGAGCCCGACAAACATACACAAACACCAATTGTATTGTCATGACGCTGACTGACCGACGTCTGTGACAACAGGCCTGCTTCGGCGCCATGTCCTTCGGGTGGGACTCGTCCGTCATCGGGGGCGTCATCGTCATGCCGCCCTTCATCGACGACTACAAGTTGGGCGTCAAGAACTCGCCCGAGTCCGCCGCCCTGGCCGCCAACATCGTCTCGACCCTTCAGGCCGGCTGCTTCCTCGGCGCGCTGATCGCCTCCCCGCTGACGGACCGGTTCGGGCGCAAGTGGTGCCTGATCACCATCTCCATGGTCATCCTGGCGGGCGTGATCATGCAGGCCGCGTCCAGCGGCAACCTGGGCCCCATGTACGCGGGCCGCTTCATCGCGGGCGTCGGCGTCGGCGCCGCCAGCACCATCAACCCCATCTACGTGTCCGAGAACGCGCCCCGCGCCATCCGCGGGCTCCTGACCGGCCTCTACCAGCTCTTCATCGTCACGGGCGGCATGCTAGCCTTCTGGATCAACTACTCGGCCTCGCTGCACTTCTCCGGCAAGCTGCAGTACGTCTTCCCGCTCGCCATCCAAGCCCTCCCGGCCATGCTGCTCTGCGGCTGCATGCTGCTGTGCCAGGAATCCCCGCGCTGGCTGGCGCGCCGCGACCGCTGGGAGGAGACCAAGGCGGTGCTCTCGCGCATCCGCAACCTGCCGCCCACGCACCCGTACCTCGAGGAAGAGTTCAAGGAGATCGTCGACCAGCTGGAGCGCGAGCGCCAGCTCATCGGCGACGCGACCTTCTGGAAGCTCCAGAAGGAAATGTGGTGCATACCCGGAAACCGCAACCGCGCGCTGATCAGCATCTTCCTCATGATCTGCCAGCAGATGACGGGCACCAACGCCATCAACACGTACGCGCCCACCATCTTTGCCAACCTGGGCATCACGGGCGTGTCCAACACGCTCTTCAGCACCGGCATCTACGGCATCGTCAAGGTGCTCAGCTGCATGGCCTTCCTGCTCTTCATGGCCGACTCGCTGGGCCGCCGCC